TGGTCATTGATTGATTTGATTGGTTGTTGGTCATGGTTGTTGGTCATGGTTGGCTGGAGCCGTTGTCGTGGGGGCTAGCAGCAGCATCACCAGCAGCAGCAGCAGCAGTGGCGGCGGCGGCGGCGGTACGTACGCGTGCAGGGTCCATCGGCTGCTGGGTGGTTGTTGGTGGCGAGAGGGACGGCTCTTCGTCGGGGTGCTCCCGGATATCGCTCCTGCTGCCGCCGCGGCTGCCCCCATACGACTGCTGCCCGTCCTCGAGGTGCAGCTGTGGTGTATATAAATATATAGAAATAGGAACACCCCCACCCCCACCCCCAGACGGCCTTGGTGAGCGGCGTCCGAGTGCCGCCAGCTGCTGCTGCTGCTGCTGGCGGTGGCTGGTGGCTGGCGGTGGCTGGTGCAACAGAAATTCCACTCGTGTGCGTGCGTGCGTGCGTGCGTGCGTGCGTGCGTGCTGGGTGTATGGGTGCGTTGGCGAGAGGGACCTTCTCGCCATCCGAGTCGTAGTCCGAGGAATCAGCGAGAGGCTCTGGACGGGCCATGGAGAGGAGAGGGTCGTAGACGTCCTCGTACAGCCCTGCGTGCATGCCACCGCCACCGCCACCGCCACAAGTAAGGTAAACAGCCACCCGCCCGCCCGCCCGTGCGGCCACCACCGGCCGCCAGGGCGTGGGGAGCGCGGAGGAGAGGGGAGGGGCGGCACCGTCGTCGTGTTCGGGAGAGAGCATGCCGGAGGGGTCGCGGGCATGATCCGGGATGAGCTTGCCCTGCAGCTTGGCCTCGAGCAACCGCAGCTTGAGCAGCAGCTGCTGGTTCTCGTCCTCGCGCTGCTGCATCTCCCCATAGATCTCCGACTCTGTGGAAATCTTGCCCAGGAAGGGCGCCAGCAATGGATGCGCCAAGATCTCTGACGCGCTACACGCCACCCACCCAACGTGTGCATGGCGGGGATTAGGGTCGGAGGCGGTGGTGTGCCGTGTGTGTCGTGTGTGTGTGTGTGTGTCGTGTGTGCGTGTCGTGTGTCCGATTAGCACATAGCTCTCAACCAACGCTGGTCCCCCTTTCAAGGGCACCGCCCAAAGGGCGAGCCAAGCTCCTCAGCAGCAGGCAGGCAGAGAGGGAGGGGCACCTTGGCCTCTTCTCGGGGTCTTTGGAGAGCATGGCCTGGATGAGCTTCTCGAGGTCGCGGCTGTACTCCTGTGGCGGCGGCAGCGGTGGTGGGTGGATGGTGGATGGTGGATGGTGGATGGTGGGTGGTGGATGGTGGATGGTGGGTGGTGGATGGTGGGTGGTGGATGGTGGATGGTGGGTGGTGGATGGTGGATGGTGGATGGTGGATGGTGGATGGTGGATGGTGGATGGTGGATGGTGGATGGTGGATGGTGGATGGTGGATGGTGGATGGTGGATGGTGGATGGTGGATGGTGGATGGTGGATGGTGGATGGTGGATGGTGGATGGTGGATGGTGGATGGTGGATGGTGGATGGTGGATGGTGGATGGTGGATGGTGGATGGTGGATGGTGGATGGTGGATGGTGGATGGTGGATGGTGGATGGTGGATGGTGGATGGTGGATGGTGGATGGTGGATGGATGGTGGCGGGGGGGGGTATGGTACGGGGGTATGGGGACGGGGAAGACTTCGAGGTTCTGGTCGTCGTAGACCGATCGGAGGGTGACGATTTCGTAGAGGGTACAGCCCAGCGCGTAGATGTCCGACTTGGAGTCGTAGGGCTTGTGTCGCAGGATTTCGGGTGCCGCTAGCGACGAATACACACACACACACACAAGCGCGCGACGCACCACACGTGGGTTAGCTGCTGCTGGTGCTGTCTTTCCCATGGGGGGGGGAGGCTCGAAGTAGAACCGCCCGCCATTACCATAGCCGAGTGTGCCGACGGCGTGGAGGAGCTTGGAGCCGGATAGGGTGACAGCCGATAGTCCAAAGTCGCCCAGCTTGAGGTCCTGCCACCGATTCAGGAACAGGTTATCTGCACACCAGCACCACCAGCGCACGAGGCCGCGAGTGCGTGTGTCAGAAGCTGCACTCTCGCGCTTTGGGGGGCGGGTGAGGGAGTGAAGGGGGGAAGGGAGTACTGGGCTTGATGTCGCGGTGGAGCACGTTGTGGGCGTGCATGTGCTCGATGGCCAGCACGGCTTGGATCAGCCATCGCAGCACCTCCTGAGAGATGAGGCACACGGTGAGGTGGGGCGAGGTGAGGTTGGTTGAGGCGCCCCACCAACCAAGAGAGAGGGAGGCCCCGAATCCACACACACACACACACACACACACCACACACACACAGCGCACGTGCCTCGCGTGGTGGTAGGAGGTGGGTAAGGTGGGGGGGGGGCGTACCTGTTCGGAGAAGTGTGACTGCTGTTGTTCGATGAGCAGCGCCATGTCGCCCCCCTCGCAGTACTCCATGACGATGTAGACGGTTAGGTTGTCCCGCCAGAAGTCTCGGTATCCCACGATGTAGGGGTGCTTCATCAACCGCAGCAGCACCATCTGCACCCACGCACCCCCCCCCCCACGCACCCACGCACGATTGGGTTCGCAAGATGTCAGCGGCCCGCCTCCGCGCGCGCACAATTGGTGGGTTTGGTAGTGGTTGGGGGACGGGGAAGCGGGCAGATTTCTCTATCTGTCTATCTATCTCTCTATCTGTATGTATGATGTGATATCGATAAAAGTATGGTGCGCGTGTACCTCCTTCACGGCGTTGGCGGCCTCTTCCTCGCTCCCGCAGTCCATTCGCTTGAGCACGTACTGGCGGAAGTCCTGCTTGTCCAGCACGACAAAGGCCTTCCCGAAGCCGCCCTCCCCTAGCGGACGCGTCACCTCGTACCGCTCCGCCACTTTGGACTGTTCCTCCCCATGGTGGTGATGATGGTGATGATGATGTGGAGAGGATATGGAGAGCGGGTAAGCCACACACACACGGCCACGCGCGTGATGCTCAGGGGCGAAACGGAGCTGGAGGACAGAGGTTGAAGGTGGGAGGGGTGGACCATGGCGATGCGAGCCTGGCCGAGGAGCTCCTGCTGGCTGAGGGTGTTGGTCATCTGCGACACCTCGAGCGACTGGCAGTCGTCCCATTGGGGGGGACACCGCCACGCCACGCCGCCACGTCATGCAGATATGTATGATGTATTACGGTTAGTGGACGCACTCGCTGGTGATTGCGGAGCGACACGAGAAGGAAGGGGTGTGGAGGGGTATGGGGCACTACTAGTGTAGTGTAGTGTAGTGTAGTGTAGGCAAGCCTATACCTGCTGGTAGAGCTTCCTCCGCTCCCAGTGGCTCTGGAGGACCTTGTACGCCTCGTGCCGGTTGAGAAAGGTGCCAAAGAAGTACTGCCTCCCGCACGCCCATCCACCATCCGCCCATCGATGGTTAGCGGCGGTGCGTGCGTGCGTGCTCACATCGTCCGCCGTTGGCAAGAGAAAGGGGAGGGCGTGGGGGGGAGGGGGAGCAGCCACCTTGGTTTCCTTGTCGTCGTCGCGTGCCACGCTGATTTCGAGGGCATTGGGGATGATGCGAGCGGTGTTCCTTTTCTCGATCGCGCGCACATCGCCGAACGAAATGGCCTCCTATTGGGGGGTGGGGTGTGGGTGGGGTGTGGGTGGGGTGGGGTGGTGCGGGGATATTATGCAGCAACATGCCCGGCCGGGCATTCCGCCCGCGTCCCGAGGAGGAGATCGATGTGTTGTGCCATAAAAAAAAAGGGGTGCCAGGCGCCTTAGCCACCCTAGTGGCGGTCATTGCCGTCCGGCGGCGGCGGTTGCTGCACTGCTGCTTGTGGCGTGTGTCGGGTGTGCAGCGGCGGGAGGAGGAGGAGGAGGAAACGCACCTTGCGCTCCGTGCCCCAGAAGGTGGAGTGGAAGCAAACGTGCTTGGTCGTAATGTACATCGTGCCCTGCACCATGTTCTCTATCATGCCCCCCGCTCTCATCGAGCAGTTGAAGCCTGTGTGCAGAGAACAACACAATATAGCGAGGTGGGGTAGCACCGCGTTGTAAGCTGCAGAAAAAAGGGGGAGGAGCACGAGCAAACTGGCAGCACGACGTGGTGGGGGCTCTACGCACTGGCTACGATCTCTTCATCCTCAGGGAATTCAAATATCTTTCTGAATTCCTTTTGTTTCTTGATGAGGTTGGGGCCGAGCCAGTGCGTTTTGGGCTGCTGTTGCTGGGCCTTGCTAAAGGGTGGGGCGTCCTTGAGCCTGTTGAGGTGGTCTTTCTTGCCCTTGTTGACCGACTCCTTCCACATCCTCCTCTCTTCTTCTTCTGGTTGGCTTTACGACAAACAGGGCTCGTGCACAATTTGCGCAGGAGGAGTATTTTCTCTGCTTCTCTTTCTTCTTCTTCTGGTTTTCTTTTTTTCTGGCTTGTTTCCTCTTTCCTCCACCCTCAGGTTCTTCTTCATCGCGTGCACCATGACTTCCCTGTCCGGTTACGATGCCTTCCTCGAGCTCGCCAAGTGCGTTTACCCTTGATTGATATGCTCTCTCCGGAGGAGGTTAATCGCTGGGCGCATCTGCACATTTATAATAATTATAATAATCTCGTGTGCCCATCAGGCGTGCGGACGAGTCCAAGAACTATGAGGCGGCGATTCCGCAACTCAACAAACTGCCAGAGCTGCTGAAGCACTGGAGCGCCACCAAGGAGCAGAGCCGCACCCTCTACCTCTTGGCCTATCGAATTTTTAGCGGCGCCCACAGACAGTGCGTACCCCACCCCGACATTTACTTTCGTGTTAAGTGTTGGCTTGGCCAGGCACTCTTCGATTTCCATGCCTTGTGGCGGGGCGATGGAGTCAGAATCAACAATAGAATAACAAAATAAATAAGAGTAAAATTATATTTTTCCTCATTTATTTTTGCAATGATGTGCGCAGGGTGGAGGCCTACGAGAGTCTGGTGCGGCACCTGGCGATGACGGAGGAGGCCTCGGGAGAGGACACCTCCGCTCTGGCGGTGCAGGCCGCGGTGGAGGCCATCCGCCTTCCGCAAGTGGTGCAGCTGGACGGCCTTCTGGGCCTGCCCGCCATCCAGCAGCTGGCCACGTCGCAGCCGCAGCTGTTTGCCCTCCTCAAGATCTTTGCCGAGGACTCCCTGTCGGCCTACACGCAGTTCCACCAGTCCCACCCCGGCTTCCTCGAGTCCGTCGGTGCGCACACCACCTCTCGTGACACCGCGCGCGCGCGCCTGCTCTCTCTGTCCTGCCCTGCTCTGCCCTCTCTCCACTCCCTCCTGCCATCACTATGAGGGTGGTGATGACGATGATGATGATGATGATGCTATCTCGTTTTCCCGGGCAACGGGCGCCACTGCCGCTCCTCTCTCTCTCTCTCTCTACGCACGCAACGGTCGACGGGGTGCTAATGATGCAGGGTGATGGTGATGGTGGTGGTGACGCGGATATGGGTGGTGGTGGTTGGCGGCGGGCAGGGCTGACGCACGAGGAGTGCCTGCGGAAGCAGCGAGTGCTGGCGCTGGCCGGGCTGGCTTCCGGGCGGGAAGAGCTCAGCTACGCGCAGGTGGCGCAGGAGCTGGGCGTGGAGGAGGGCGAGGTGGAGGCCTGGGTCATCGAGGCCGTCGGCGCGGGCGTGGTGGACGCGCGTCTCGACCAGACGCGCCGCGTGGTGCTGGTCAACCACGTCACCTTGCGCACCTTCACCGCCGAGCACTGGCAGCAGATGAGCTCCCGCCTGGCCCTGTGGAAGGACAACCTGGTCTCCCTCCTCGAAGTCGTGCAGCAGAACAAGAAGCTCGCGGCCTAAGCTGTCACCTCTCCCCCTCTCCCCTTTCTCTCTCTTGCGCCTCCCCGCTCGCACGGGCCAACAAATACACGCGTGTGCTCTTGTTCTCCACTGATGATGGGCGCTTGTTTATGTACTTCTGCCCCCCCCCCGGTGCGCATGTCGTGCACAACAGTTGGCTGCTGGTGGGGGGGGGCAGTTGTTGTACAGGCCCGTACGGCATGCCCCGGGGGTGTGGCGGCACGAGCCTGTATGGGAGAAGAATTATCGCCGACACGCGGAGATAGGCACGGATAAGCCCGGGGCTGGCCTTCGCCACCGCTTGTTCTCTCCTCCTCGCGCAACGTTGCACCGCGGCAGCCGCTCCTCTTTCGTCCTCACCCCAGCAGCAGCCCACCTACCGCCCTACCGCCCTACCACCACCACCACCACCACAATGGAAAACAAGACGTCCAACGCCTGTACGCTGCCCCCATCTTCGCTAGCTGCCAGGGCACCTCCGCCGTGGTAGTCACCACGGACGAACTGACACCTGGGGGGCGTGTGCGCGAGGGCAGCCACCTGGGGATTCGGAACGCGGGCCATCTTGGCCGGGCAGGAGCCCGACCCCACCACGGGAGCGGTGGTGGTGCCCATCTCCCTGGCCACCACCTTCCTTCAGGACTCGCCCGGCGTTCACAAGGTACGCCCCCCCCCAATCCACTACTCGTTCCCTTTTTCCTAAATTTATTTCTGTTCAAGAGGACTTTTATTTATTTTATATCCATTCAAAGGCTTCCTGTTATTTTTATTTTGGTGCATACCACAAGCCTCCGTGAGCATGCCGCGCGCAAACCCTTCCGTGTGTGCTGATGTAAAGTTCTCTGCCCCGCGGCGCGCGTTCTCCAGGGGTTCGAGTACTCGCGCACGGACAACCCCACCCGCCGCGCCTTTGAGGCCAACGTGGCGGCCTGCGAAAATGCCCGATACGGTTCTCTCCCTCCCTTCTCCCTGCTCGCCTTTTTCTTTATCCACGCACGCACGCACGCGTGCCGAGGGGGGGGGCGAGGGGTACCTCTTTCTCATCTCAGGGCACCGTCGGCTGGGTGGCTGCCCCCCCCCTCTCCCCATCAACCCCCCGCAGGCATCGGCTTTGCGTCGGGCAGCGCGGCCACCATGACGATCCTCCACATGCTCAAGGCCGGCGACCACGTGGCTGCCATGGATGACTGCTACGGAGGCACCTACCGCTACTTCACCAAGATCGCCACGCCCATGGGCCTCAACTTCTCCTTCGCTGACTTCAGCCAGGAGGGCGAGGTGGAGAAGATCCTCACCGACAAGACCAAGGTACTAGCACACACGCCACACACACACGCCACACGCTCGTTGGATCGGAAGACATGAGTCCTCGATCGGCGGGCGCCCAGCTGTTCTCTGCTCTCTCTCTCTCTCTCTCTTCTCTCTTCTCTCTCTCTGCTCTCTCTCTCCCCCCCTCTCTGTGCTCTCTGTGCTCTCTTGTTTGCTTGCTTGCTGACCGCCAATCCACCGCCCGCCGCATCACATCCGATGGCCCCGCGCAGCTGATTTGGATGGAGTCGCCGACCAACCCGACCCTCAAGCTCACCGACATCCGCAAGGTGGCGGAGGTGGCCAAGAAGAGGAACATCCTGCTGGTCGTGGACAACACCTTCATGTCGCCCTACTTCCAGAACCCCCTCGACCTCGGCGCCGACATCGTCGTCCACTCGGTGACCAAGTACGATTGATGGCGCTGATGACGATGATGATGGCTATCTGTGTCTCCCCAGACGACACACACTTGCTGCTGCTGCTGCTGTTGTGGCATGCATACGCAGGGTGGTATGCTGACGTGGCGTGGCGTGGTGGGGCAGGTACCTGAATGGTCACTCGGACGTGGTGATGGGCATGGTGCTCACCAACTCGGACGAGATCAAGACGCGCCTCCGCTTCCTCCAGAACGGCATCGGCGCCGTGCCCAGCCCCTTCGACTGCTTCCTGGCCATGCGCGGCATGAAGACCCTCCACCTCCGCATGCGCGAGCACGCCAAGAACGCCCTCCACATCGCACAGTTCCTCGAGTCCCACCCCAAGGTACACCACCCACCACCCCCCTTCACACGCCCTCCCTCATCCTAATGCCCCACGCACCCGCACCCCCCCCCACCTTGCTGGACGCTCACCCTCGCGACGCCTCTCTCTCTCTCTCTCGCTCTCTCGTCTTCTCCGCCATCACCACGACCACGATCACGACCACGACCGCCACCATAGGTGGAGAAGGTGATCTACCCCGGACTGCCCTCGCACCCGCAGCACGAGCTGGCCAAGGCGCAGATGAAGGGCTTCGGCGGCATGGTCACCTTCTACGTCAAGGTACCCCTCCCTGACCTGACGTTACCTTCCCGATCGAACGCGTGCTCATCCGCGACGCACACACGACACACACAGGGCGAGTTGGAGCAGGCGAAGCAGTTTTTGGAGAACCTCCACATCTTCCACCTGGCCGAGAGCCTCGGCTCCGTGGAGAGTCTGGTCGATTTCCCGTACGGCGCCGTCTCCCATGCATCCCCTCTATCGATAGGTGTGCCACGTGGTGGTGGTGATGAGTCTGACACTCCAAACGCTGGCTGCTGGCTGCGCATCAGGCCCATCATGACGCACGCGGCCGTGCCGAAGGAGGAGCGGGAGAAGCTGGGCATCTCCGACACTCTGGTCCGGTTGTCGGTGGGTGTCGAGGACCTGGACGACCTCGTTCGTGACCTCGAGAACGCCCTCGCCCACGTCCAGCTCTAGACTGGACGCCCAGCAGCGGACGGCCCTTCACTCTCATGGGAGGTCTCTCCTCTCCTCCCCTCTTTGCCCCCCCCGCTGCCATGGATGGACGCAAAGTAATGAAGAGCCAGTAAGCCGGTCGCACCAATCAACGGTTGGGGGGGGGTTGTTGGTTTGAAGGGGCTCGTGGGGTGCGAGGGTGCGGGCACTCCTCACAGGCCGCGGAACTGGTAGCGCACGGGGGGCACGTCTACGTCTTCGCCGTCGGAGAGGCGGGAGCAGACCACCTCGAGGGTGAGGTACTTCTTGTTCTCGGGCAGGGGCTTCTTCGTCACCGTCTCCACCAGTTGGGCGATCCTGAACACCACACACAACACACGCGCGAAGGCTAACGTTGGCCACCAGCCACCACCACCCGCGTGTGCGAGAGAAGAGAGAGAGAGAGAAGAGAGAGAGAGAGAGAGAGAGAGAGAGAACGAGGGAGTGGCGTACTCAACGTCCATGCGTTCGTTGAGCTTGGACTTGGGCATGAAGAAGGAGTAGAGCATGGTGCTGCCGCACGAGGCCATGGAGAGCTCCAGCTTGTGCTCGGACTCAAACAGTTCGATGAGCTGGCGCAGGGTCGACGGACCCTTCACGTCGAAGCGGTCCCACAGCGTCCACTTCCACCCCTCCGTGATGGTGCCCACGGGCGGCGCAATCGGCTCCGAAAAGCCGAAGAAGGGCAGCGCCAGGTTCACGAACCCGTTCCTGTGCGCACCCAACAACGGACGCCACGCACATGGCCCGCGGTTAGAAACGTCCGACATGCCGCGCGGGTGGTAGTGGCGGCGGCGGTCGTGGCGGTGGAGAAGGAGCTGGCACACGTGGTACGACGTACCTGAAGTCTTCGAGCTTGTCCTTGCCCTGGACCAGTTTGATGAGTTCGAGGCACACGAGGCCCGCCACGAGAGCGGTCGTGGTGACGAGGGCCGGCATGATCTTGCCCGCAATGCCCTTGGTCGTGTGCTTGTCCACCTCCGCGATCTGTTGTTGTTGTTGGGTGTTGTTGTTGTCATTAGGCCCGCCGCCCGATTGTCAGGTCTCCAAACCAACCAACCAACCAACCAACCAACCAACCAACCAACCAACCAACCAACCAACCAACCAACCAACCAACCAACCAACCAACCACGCACAGAAAATTCTGCAGCGGCGGCGGCGGCGGTACCGAATAGTTGCGAGCGCGTAGGTTGGAGGCGGCGGCGATGAAGTCGATGTGGAAGTTGGTGTCGTCGTCCTTCTCGAAGATGAGCGGGCTGACGCGGTAGCCGGCAAGCGTGGACGGGGCGGGCAGCTCTGCCAGGAGCCGCGCGGCCTGCTCCTCATCACCCTCCTGCGCACCACCCACCATCAGCAGCCACCCACCACGATCACAACCACTCCGCTGTCAGCCGACTGCAGACTGCAGGGGCGAAGAGGGCGGTAGCGTAGCAGTAGCGTGGTGGTGGTGGTCGTGGTCGTGGTAGTGGTACACTTTGTTCAACTTTGGTGGCGGCGTCCTCCTTGGTCTGAATCTTGACGCCCTTGCGCGGGACGAAGGACGGTACCGTCACCTGGCCCAGGGCCGCACGGAACACGCCCTCCTCCACGCTCCCTGCCATGCCCCCCCCCCAATGGGAGGTCCCACCAGGTCAGCACATGCCACGAACACAGCACACACACACAGCACACACACGCTACAGCACAGGCCCTGTGGGCAGATGCAAAAGCGAAGAGGAGGTGGTGGAGGTGGTGGTTGCAACGTGGTGGGGTAGGTACCCTTGAGGCCAAAGTTGGCGGCGCGCAGGTTGGCGGCGGACTTGATGAAGTCCATGTGGGTGCGGTCGTCGGGGTTGAACGTGAGCGGGCTGGGCGCTCGCTTCGGCCCCGACCAGAACGGCGCTACCCCCCCCCGGGGACACAGGCGAGAGCTTGTTAGGCGCGCGTGCGAAGGAGCATGTGTGTGTGTGTGTGTGTGTGTGTGTGTGTCGTGTCGTGCGTGCGTGCGTGTGCCGTGTGTGTAGTACCGCCGGAGGGTGTGATGGTGTCGAGGGGGAAGTTGTAGAGGAGCTGTGCGATGTTGTTGCGGAAGAGGTCCTCGAAGCGGGTGCGGGCCCACGCGATGCACTGGTCGAAGGTGAAGGGCCGCTCGGAGACGAGGGACCCGTGGATGGCGTTGAGGATCTCCACCTGCTGCACGACGGGCTGCTTGCGCAGGAATTCGAGGAAGTCCGGCTGGGAGAGGTAGGCGTTGACGTGGTCGGCCGCGTTCTTGAAGTAGCCCTCGAACAGGTCCCGCGACCAGTGGATGGTGTGCTCGATCTTGTTCGGGAAGTGGTGCAGCGTGCACACCGGGATGCTCTTCTCCGGCGGATCCCGCGACGACGAGTACGACTCCGTCAGCATCGGCACCACCACCTGCAGGTATTTTACACACACACACCACACCACACCACACCACACGACACACACACACACACACACGACACGACACCCCACGACACACACAAGTCGGGAGACGTTGGGTGAGGTGATGTTCAAACAAAGCGATGGGGGGGGGCAGCAGCAGCAGCAGCAGGGCACGTGCCTGGGTGTTGCCCTTGGTGCCGAGGGTGCCGGATTCGAGCATGGGCTTGCGGTGGTAGATGCACTGGGAGTCCATGTACATGCGGGCCTCCACGTTGTCGAGGGCGTTGCACACGCCCGTCAGCGACTCGTAGAAGTTCTCGTCGAACACGTTCTCCGTCTCGGGTCCCACCCGCGCCGAGTAGGCCCGGACGTTGATGGCCCCGTTCATCCCCCGCACCGCCTCGGCCGCCGCCTCCGACTTCAACCTCTGTTCCCGTGCCGCCGTGCGCGGTTAGGCAAGGGCACAGGTTCGCACAGGGGTGTGTGTCGTGTCGTGTCGTTGGTCGTGGGCGGGCGTACGCCGACGTCCTTGGGGCGGAAGAGGAACTGGCGGTTGAGGTTGGACTTTTCGATCATGTCCATGTCGGTGACGTGGATGGCGCCGCTGCCGGCGCCCAGGCCCATGGAGGCCCAGATCTTGAGGACCTCGCAGCCGATGGCGCCCGACCCCACCAAAAAGTACCGCTGGGCCTCGAGCCGCCGCTGCACCTCGCGCCCCAGCACCGCCACCTGCCCGTCGTACCGCGTCCCCTCCTGCGGTATGGTAGACCCATCCACCATCATCACCATCATCACCATCCACCGCCAGGGTCACATTGGTGGGGCGGGGGTGGAGGGGGTGGGGCGTACGGGCTGGAAGTGTGCCGGGGTGAGGTCGGTGGGGAGGGCCTCCACGGCGTCGAAGTAGAGCCACTGGTGGATGGGGGTGAACTTGCCAGAACACGCCTTGAGCACCTCCTGCGCCACCACGCCCCCGATGAACGACACCTGGAGTGTGGCCCACGCACGCCACCACCACCACGACAACGACAACGACCACGAGGGCGCTGTCAGGCAGGTCAAGCACGCACGCGCACCTCCCGGACAGGCTGACCCGCCTCGCCGCCGCTGCTGCTGGGTGGGTGGGTCGTGGTGGGTGTACCATGGGCGAGATTTCTCCGCGGGAGCCGTAGGCCAGGAGCGAGATGAGCTTCTCGTCCACCGTTTCCACCTACACAACCGCACCACCCCCCCCAACAATTGGACGCAACGTGTGCACACACACATACACATACATGAGGGATCCGGATACATCAAATGCAGCGCTGCCACACGTGTCTCGGCTTGTTGTTGCCGCAGCCGACATCGCGTGACATGCAGGCAGGCAGGCATGGATGGGAGGACACGTGCGTGCCCACGTACCAGCTTGGCGGAGGCGTTGAGCTCCTTGGCCAGCTCCACCACTTCCAGGGCGTGCTCCTGGACATACACATCACGAGCGTGGGCGGTGGCGACGGGCGATTGGAGAGGGGATTGGCGGTTATTGGGTGGGAGTGAGGGGAGTGAGGGGAGTGGTGGTGAGGGGTAGTAGCAGTAGTACGTGGTGGTAGGGGAGGGGGTAGGACCCGCCGTGGCGTTCGGTCCAGAGGGCGAGGGCGTGGAAGCCCAGGTGCAGCTGCGGAGGACGCTCCAGCTTACCAAAGTCCGCGTCCGTCCACGTGGGCTGCTTCAGCGACTCTTGCAGCGACAACTGGCCACCGCGGGCGAGCGGAACGGGAACACACACACAACGACACACGACACACACACGATTGCACGACAAAGAGCACACCTCGCACGTGAGCGCACAGTGCCAAGGGGAGATGGGGCTGCAGCTCAAGGAATCTTCGGGGTGGGAGGAGGGGGGGGAGAGAGAGAGGT